GAGTCGTCCTTTAGAGAGGATCTTCCTCGACTGAAATACACTTTATTAACATCGAAACTAATAAAATTCTCAAATCTCGCATGTTGCCAGAATCTTTAGAAGGATCAAAAGAAAAAAAATATATATATTATTAATTATATTATTATAATATTATTAAATATAAATAATTTAATATAATAATAATATATAAATTAGAGTTGGCATATTTTCCTTGGTCGTAACTAAAATGTTTTGATATTGTGCCGTTCTGCAGCTATTAAGGATCTGGTAAGATTACGATCAGCCTAGTCAGTAAATAAAATGACTCGACTCATCGCGACATAATCGAGCAATTCGTTCAATCTGGTCTGTGCTTCATTGACAGCAGCACTATGACCTAATTCTTGCGACCGTGAACGTGTAAGCATGTCATTACACGAATGTCAATGTCGCTTATACAGAGGCACTCGACGATAACGCATGGTAATTTTGAAATTGCACTTCGTACTTTCATCGTACGGCTAAAAAAGGTGAAACATGCATAACTCTCCTAATATTATAATAGTTTTAACAGCTTTTCCAACTTATTCTATAAATACGCGATAATATGGATTTTGTTAAAAAGCAATTAAACTTATAATTAAAATGGAACTAAATATTTTTCGAAAATAAGCAAAATTATTATGTTAAATTATTTATAATAGTTATAATTATTTATGATACAATTTGTAATACATATTTCTTTTTTACTTTGATTCTTTAAAATATAATAAGTGTTAAAGAAAATGTATCTACATTTACAATAAGTGGCAAATGTTTTCGAAAATACCAGATTTTATACCAGATTAAATATTCAAAATATGTCGATGCTCGTATAAATTATAAAATTGATTATTTTTCTAAAGCACGAAATTCTGATTTACGGTTATCAGTAACAGCGAGCGTAACAAATGAAATTTAAGAAAATAAAAAAACTATACAATTCCGTGAGGACTATGAACTCTAATAATCTGTAGGTAAGTGTTCGAATTCCATATAATAATAAAGTGAAAATTATCTTGATAAATCAATCGACACCTTGTTCTCATTCTACATAAAAAAGTTCTAATCTACACAATCACGATGCAATGTAATCTTGATAAATTCGTCTGCAAATCTCGCTAAATCATATTTAGGTGATTTCACATCGCGCAATTTTTTGTAATGGATAATTAATTATGTATCTTACATAATTATTTTGACAGTTTAATAAAATTAGTTTCAGATCTGTATCTCTAATTAAATTTTTATAGATATTTCAGCAAAACCGTTCTTTCCGTGTAAAAGCCGTTTTCTGAGAAGTCGAAAAAGCCGGTTTCCTTTCATATTTGTATGACCAATTTTGATTAGCCTTCTAATAACATGACAGATTTTGTGCGATAGAACATAAATTTGCTCTGCACCTTTAGGATGCATTTAAATTTCGTGACAGCGCACCTTTGTGATGCGACCAAGGCGGGTGACCCTCATACAATTTCTTAGGGGACCCTCCACACCCTTCGTACTTTAGCGGGCCTGTTCAGAGAGTTTGGGATCGTACGGTATGTCGAGGAGGCATCCGTATATTTTCGTGTCACATCCTTTCTCTATGCTTCTTCTTTTGGTGTTCGCCTTGGTACAAAGGCTACGACATACTCCTTCTCTTTCTTTCTTTCTCTCTCTCTCTCTCTCTCTCTCTCACCTCTTGGAATCCGATACAAGATAACCGTTGCTCCCGATCGCGTTGTTGAGCTGAATTATTTGTACAATGTTTCGACGAGATAAAAGCCTCACAGATTACACAGGATTAGACCGTCGGTGTTTTAAAAACTTTCACGACATTCTTGTCAGCGTTCCCAAAATTTTAGACTTTGGTATGTATAATAATAATCACAAACATACAGCTTTCTCCAAAAGTTCTCCTAATTGTAACATTATAATAAGTCAAACTAATCAGTATTTACAAAGAAAAAAGAAATATATAACACATTTTGCGATAAACAGCTTGAACAAAATCATTTCAAAAACTTATTTGTTTTTTTTTTCAATTTTTGAAACTTGATTCATTATAGCATAATTACAGATTACGAATTATTCTTACAAATTTTACAATCTTGATATCGATAAGATAGAGGCAGTTATTCGATGATATCATATATGTACAGAGAATTGTCAATATACGAATTTAGAATTCGAATATTGCTTTTATATATCGAATCTATATTTTATTATCTACTGTAACATACTAAAACAATTCTGTAATAACGAATAAATTATTGTAGAAGAAAATTATTATATTTTATATATAACAAAATATGTTTCTGTATCGAAGAAATAAAACCTGTTATTAAAGATGTATCTTATTAAATTAATGATTTACTTCATTATATCGTTTCAGAAATAAATAATGTCATAGAATGTTTTCAGCGATGATGAAATATTTAATTATTTATTACATAAAGTTAGGCGATGTCTTCACGACCACCGTTATCATCACTTCGCGCTATGCAGGAAAAAGCAAGCTGTCCAAAGTGTCACACGTTTTGCGCGTATACTAAAAGTCCTCGCTTGTCACTCTCTTTTCACGTTAATGAAATTATCGTGCGCTTAGTTAATACCTAAATATAGGAGCGATCGCGTTCCACATTGTGGCTGGAGTATTGCAACGGGTAACTCTTTAAAAGAAAGCACTCCGATAATCGTGGAATGTGCAACTATGCGGGACGTATACAAAAGTAAACGACCATGTAGACATCAACGGAATTGCGTATATAGCGATTTTTTTTTTTGTGAAATTAAAGTTTTAAAATTGCATTAAATAAAGCTTTTCATTTTCAATAATTTTAAAAATCAATACAGGTCTGAGCCAAAAAATATTTAGCTTTATATACCATAAAAAATATTTATATTTTATAAACAATATAATTATAAAGCATTTAAAAAAATTAAATTTAACAGAAAAGAAATTTTATATAAAATATGATTATACATGTAAGATTTAAATTTACTTCATGTAATAGATACTCCACTTATATAGTATCCTTCTCTCTGAGAAGCTATCGGTGAAACTGTTGAAATCGTTAAATGACTTAACATGTACGTATAAGGAAGTTTCGAACAAACAAGTCGAATGCCAATTAATTCTCTGGCAGTCTGAGGTGAAAGTAAACGAGTATGAGGATACCCTGCACGAGATTCGTGTCACGGCATTGTCCACGTCATTCGCCGACTTCGTGATCTGCATACAGCGTTCGATGCACCGTAAAAGCATACAAAAAAACGTAAAGTAGTAAGACGTAAGCAATAAGCAAATCGGCCAATCACAGTAAAGCCTATAAGGCAATAATGTAAGCAATGGCCAATCCAAAATGTTGATTTGGTTACTGCTTACTTTTTATTGTTTACGTTTTTTTTTTATGGGCCACAGCCTTAATAGAATTTATTAATGACTATCGCTAATTACTTTTTATAAAAAACCGTTATATATATACATATATATATATGAAGTTTTAATAATTTTTAATAATTCGAGCGATGTGATCTTTTTACACGGGATATATCAGAATGTTACATTACGTTTATCTATACTCTTTATGGGCGACAGTGTTTTCAGAAGAAACATTGCAGAAATAGTTTTGGGCTGGCATCGATTCACTTTACAGTGACGCACCGAAAATCTGAAACTACATCCGCTATAAAAACACTTTCGCATGGATACCAGCCGCCAGGAGGGCCGGACAGTATATTATTATTATTATAATTAAACGCGCCCACCATGATGCAGTGTACAAGATATTCTGCATACTATTAATTCAATGTCTACTTCATCCTAAAATTGAAATAAAGGAATTATAAATGATTGCACATGAAGATTGTATAAAAATTAAATTTTGAAGATATATAGCTAAATAAATTTTTTATTTAATTGTGAATGGATCTTGATATTATTTTTTTAAATGTGAAATTAGGATGTTAGAAAATTTAGAGATAAGAGGAGAACTTTTTTTCTAGGTAATTAATTAATTGCATGTAAAAACTTATTACCTATACATAAATGAAGGAAAATGCAGCGTAATGTGATAGAACCCTTCATACGAGTGATCTCCTCGAAGTACATCACGATCAGAGGCACCGTATGTCTAACGGAATATGCATACTGCAGAAAGATGAATACCAACGGATCATGCTTGGAAACCTCTCCTTTTTAGGCAACCATGCATAAAAGCGGATAATCGTCTATCCGGATACGTAATTGCTGAACCTCCCTTTTTCATAAAGTATTCAATTCATTAATTAAAATTTAATGATGGACATTGTGGTAAAATTATCTTTTGATACATAAAAGGAGCTTTTATAATTAAAAAATATTATTTAAAATTTTCTTAACACTACCGATGATTAACGTATAAGTATCTATGATTATTATTTAAATATATTATTTAAATAGATAAATATGTATTATTATAAAAAGTGAGAAAGTGTAACATAAATTGATCGATTTAATCATTTACAATATTTATTGCAATAAAAATCATTAAAAATCTTAGAAAATGTATCATTATGAATTTGAAAAAAATTATTAATCAGTTATTTTGATTACTTTGATAATTCTAGGGTTAACCATGTACTTTATGCGTATAATTTTCATCTTTTGTAATAAAGAAATTATTCCTAATTATGAAAAAAACTGCTTGCTTTTTGCACTTGTTTTTTGCGCATTTCTTAAAATTGATATCTGTATTTACGGAAAAATATCGGAGAAACAATGAACTGATGCTGTAACAGATTAGGTTAGTGACTCTGGTAATGACTTTGTCGCAGTCCCTACAGGATGCATTACTTGGTATCATGGAACATCGCATAATTAATAACCGGCTCTCCGCATAATACCGAAGCATTGACACTGTACTCCGCAACTGAGAATTCGAAAGCACAACGGTATCTTTGTTATCGCGCTTTCACTTTTAAGAGGATAATATACAAATTTTTTTTTCTTGTTACAGATCAATAGCAAATACAGCGAGGAACTCGCGCAGGAATGTCTGGAATGGATCAAGACGATAACCGGCGAAAACATAAACACCAACGGGGACATGGACAACTTCTACGAGACCCTGAGAGATGGCACCTTACTTTGCAGGTATTTGAAAAAAATCGGAAAACCGACGCCGATTGAATTAAGGAATCACCGAAACGAGATAAAAATGCTTTTGCTAATCGTATTTTGTTCTTTTGTTAGACTGGTGAATGACATCAAGGAGGGTTCAGTGAAGAAAATTAACAAGACGTCGCTGGCCTTTAAATGCATGGAGAATATAAATGCCTTCCTGGAGGCTGCGAAATCATTAGGTGTTCCGCCGCAAGAGACCTTCCAGACCGTAGACCTCTGGGAAAGACAGAATCTAAATTCCGTTGTTATTTGCTTACAATCTCTTGGAAGGAAGGTACGGTTCCATTCCGTAAATGTAGATATACCGGGTGGCTGAAATTTTGACATACAATAATTTTTTTACTACTGCAGGAATGTCAAATATCTTTGCATTATAAAATAAAATGTGAAAATAAAAATTTTCTTATAAATTAAATCTTAAGACTAGTAATATATATCAGAAGTTTGCTATTTAATTTGTTAGTAAGAAACTTAATTTATTTATTTAATATATATTTAAAATTTAATCGATCATATTTAATATCAAATGTTAATGAATTCGTAAAAATAATGTACAATTAAATTCTGATTAGAGACCGTAAAGTAAAATCAACTAATGCATATAATTTTATTTGAGAAGCATAAATTTTTCTATATTATATATTTTAATCATTCTCAATCACAGAGACGTCAAATCATTATATTCGTAACGCAGAAAGATCTTAATTTCCTGATACGAATATTCATTATCTTTTATTGTTATTAGATATTTACGTCTCTACAAATGGATTTGTTATCAGTATTTATATATCGCTCTTTACTTTTATCAAGCATCTTAATGCACGATAATTTTGCCTAGTTTGTAACGCCTCGAAAATTCCGACATTCCATAAGATTTACCTTTACAGGCGGGTAACTATGGCAAACCAAGCATTGGTCCTAAAGAAGCAGATAAAAATGTACGCAATTTCACTGAGGAACAATTGAGGGCCGGACAGGGCGTGATAAGTCTACAATACGGCAGTAATAAAGGTGCTAATCAAAGTGGCATTAATTTCGGCAACACAAGACACATGTAAAACATCCACCTCCGCATTTGCGTTGAGAAACAAAACCATTCTGTTCTCATCTCTCTTCTGACTTTATTCCCGTACAAGTACTCCTCTAGATGTAGCGTAATGCATAATAGATGTTAACGAGGTCCAAAATAAAAAGTATACTGAACGATATGTACCTTCACCACGACAGAGAAGAATTAAAACATAAGAATATGAGACATAAGATTCTTCAAATAAAAAAAAATAATGCAAGGTGTGTATATATATAACTTACGAAAAAGGTGACTAATCCTTAGATGCATAAAACAGGGATTTATAACATGTTTTTTTTAATTATATTTTTTTAATTCCATTATCATCAATCATATCTTTCTCTTCTTTTAGATAATTTAAAAAAAATATTAAGCTATGCTTTGACACTCAATTTATTCAACCCAAAATTTATCAAATCAATTTTCTATTAAATTTCTAATTTTTATTGCCATGCATCCAAGGATTAAATCTTATCTAAGTTTTGTATTGATATAAACTATTTAATTTCATTTCTTGTTGTTACTTTCATTTCAAATCTATCGCGTAATGATTCGGAATCGATATATGATGTCATACTTAATACGTTAGAGTGAGGACTCCGAGAAGTACGTAATATTTTTTATATTCCGTTTCTTGATTATATGACAATTCAAATTGAATCTTTTTTACTTACGTGTTAAATATACATACGTTATCAGTATGTATGCATCGATTATAGTTATATGTATATCAAAACTACAAACGCGACTGTGTAGCTCTCAGGATAGGAAATACACGAACATTCTTACACAACACAAAGGAACAAATAAAAGAATATTGTGCGTTAGCATTAGCTCGGACAGCCACTATAATTGTTGAATGTTTCAAAGTATATTGTACAACGAAGGAAGACTGGCTAATTGCGCCATTGTCATTACAATTGAATATCTTGAAGTCAATCAAATCATTCTAGAAATTTGTGTTTAACGAAAGATAATAATTATATATGTATAATTATATATTAAGTATTTTGTACAAATATCTATTGATGGTTAGAAAAATAATTTTTCATAACATGCTGATGATATGAGTTAATAAAGTCATCAATAAGTGATTTTTATATTAAATGTTACTTATGATGAAGTACAATTGTATGTTACACTTTTAATTTTCTTCTACCCTGTAAGTCGAAACAACTAATCTTTTCAGAATATTTAATATATGACCTTTCTAAAATATTTTATTTTAATATAAATGTGTAATATACTACAATAAAAGAAATACAACATATATACATTCAGTTATTTATTAAAAGGATAATAATCCAATCCAGTGTTGTACTTAAATTCGCGTTTTTTATTACGATTCTGCTTCTTTGTCATTTCCATAAGTTTTTGGACGCTAGGCCTGTATAAATAAGATATAATTATAAGCATATAATTATAAGTTACATCGTAAATAACGTAAAGCAGAATTGTGAATTGTACCTGTAAGGTGGTGGTAACATCTCTTCATGAAACGTACATTTTATGTTAGACGGTTTGTTTTGTTTGAATATTCTTGATCTAACGATATCGATATCTCTATCATATTTATCTAAGATTTTGTCTACTTCGCTTGGTGGTACATCAAAATATATTAAAAAATGGCTGGAAATATAAAAGAAAAATAGACAAAATATATAAAGTAAAATACGAGAAGATATACTTTACTATTGTTAGAATATATAATAATGAAGAAATAATTTATCAGTTGCGCATTTAGTTTGTTCCAATTAGGGCAGAACTTAATTATGCTTTAATATTATTGTAAGTATAATGTTACTTTGCTTCACGATGAACATGTCCATGTGCACTAGTTTTGCATGGAAGTAGCATCACTCCACAATTTTCAATTTTTCTGATAAAACCACCGGTATTAAATATTGTTTCAGCTGTTCTCTTTAAGACTGTTACCAGTTCTGGCTACAAATACATATCAAATTTTCGTTGATTATTTTACAATGGATAACGATTATTTGTATGAGACAACATATTATATCATGCATACGATTATCGTAATGTTTTATTGCACAAATCTCTGATGTAAAAAAATATAACCTATACTTGTTACAGTATACTTGTTACAGTACGATACCTTTTTCATGATTCGCAGCAATAAGGGCATTTCATATGTAGGCATATTTGTAATTTTTTTTTGACACTAACTATACAATTCCCAAAAAACTAAGAATAATATAATGACAATACTTCAACAATTGATCTCACTGCGAAAGAAAATCACAAACTACATTAATCTTGATCAATCTACACAAATTGCTTTTCTTGTCCAATTCTGAAGTCTCAGCGGAAATTGAAGAAACTCGACATATCGACTATTTCGACTGTTGGGAAGATAAATAATGATTTTATCGATATTTGATATTTAGTTTCCAAGAGTGGACGTTGGTGCGCTAATACGAAGTTTCATGTAAAAGGCCACTCAACCATGGTGGAAGGGATATAATCTTTCCACCATGACTCAGACGGTATTGACGATAGACCTCAGATTTGCCTCAGATTTCTCTGTGGAATCGTGAAATGTGAATGTGCAAGTGAGAGAAGAATATTAAACAGAAAATAAAACACGTATCAGAAAATTTGAACAACTACTTTAACAATTAAAAACATTTTACTTACATTTTACACAAAGGTATTGTCACTTCTATTATAAACGGTATTGTAAAACTATAATAACATTTATCAATAGATTCATTACTTTTGATAGTTTTAGTTATTTTCCAAATTTTTATGATTTTACTGATAGTACAGACAGAAACCGTAATTCGCTATTCGGTGATGTTCTGCGTTTATTTAGTTTCATGTTTCTGTTAATAAATATTTGAAAAAATATATCTTAACGGTTTATATTGATTGTTGAAACAAAAGGTCTGTTTTTTATTTCTTACTAGACTGCACTAGAATTTTCTCTCTCGAAAACGAGAGAGAAAGTTCTAGTGCAGTCTAGTAAGGAATAAAGACCAAACATATATCTATATTTTACAATTTTACTTTAAATTCCAAAAGTATACACTATTTCAAACCCAAGAAACTTGTTATTTCAGGTATTCGGTGTACACAGTGAAGATGGCAGAATTATCGAGCAATAAAGAGGATAAAGAAATCAGTGATAAAAGTGATCAGGAGACACAGTATCTCGACGCTAATAATGTAAACGATGACAAAAGTGATAATATAAACGATGACAAAAGTGATAAAAATGATGACAAAAGTAATACCACAAACAATAACAAAAATGATTGCGACCCAAGGGAATCTGTCCGTAGGCAATTTTACAAAAGTTGCATAAGAAGAGATAATATTAAGTTAGAACTTGACGATAGTACACCTCAAGAAGAAAGACGCAGATTGTTATTAGAGTACCAGAAGAAGTATGTATAACAGATTACTTATAGAAATATTCTATTGTTATAAATGTATATCTTATATTAAAAATTAATAAACACTTAGTGTTATATGTACTATGTAGAAAATCTATAGAAAAGAATTAATATACTTGTGATAAAATACATATGTTAAACAATTATTTTGTATACATTGATAGAAGCATTATTAACAAATGATAATAAAAAATTTAAATAAAAAACTTAATGAGAGGATATTGAAATATTTAATAATAATTAATGAAGTTAAATGATTAATTTAAAACTTGTTTTCATTGCCATTGAAGAGAAAGAAAAATGTTTAACGTTTTTAGCTATAACTATAATTGTTACCACTTATAGACATCATAATTATTGGAGCTTTTCAGCAGGAGCATTTTTAACAAAATGACTGAGTCCGTGATGTCTTGCTAGAAAACTCTTATATCATTAGTTTTTACTGGCTTCTATCATATTTTTAATCTAACATTTAGAATGATTTTAGAATCATTTTATGATTCTTATAGACATAGAGATGAAACAATCAATGCTGCACGTGGTATACAAGAGTTTTCTACATCAAAAAATGAAGATCTGGATGAGGAAAAATATATAGGTAAGGCGGAATATATAGGTGAAGAGTATATGGATGCGGAAGAGTACATGGATGAAGAGGAGTATATGGAAGTAGAAGATTATGCCTCGTCGTATTATAAGATTCTTCCGAACGAATTCAAAACAAGTCGAATGATGCTATCAGAATGGATGCTAGATGTGCCACAAGATTTCATTGAAAATTGGATTATGGTTCCATGTCCAATAGGAAAACGAGTTAGAGTAATCTCAGGCTGGGTATTAACTCATCTTTGGTTATATTTATTATTATCAAATAAGAAATCTTTATTACAAACGTATAATTATTTTAACAAATTTTTTAAATCAGGGTGAAACAAGAGCATATTCTAGAAAAGGTATCCTACATGGTGTCTTTCCTTCAGCACTTCCAGGTGGAAATCCTGATAGTGACTTTCATCACTCTGCTGCTATCGACTGTCTATGGATAAAGAACCGAAAACTCTTTTATATATTAGACGTGCTGTATTGGAGTCTATTGCCATTCACAAATTGTCAGGTAATACATATATATTTCACATATAAATCAATCTGTATTTGTAAAATAATTGATATAAATTAGAATACATATATAAGCAATAAATATATTTATATATTATTTTATATATACATACGATATATTATTTTAGGCCGAGTTCAGGTTTTTCTGGATCAAGAATAAGTTCCAGGAAATACCACAATTCAAAGAACGTAATACTGATACAAATAGATATCCTATTTTACCTCTACCAAATATTAATTGTAATTCGAACGTTAATTCAGCCTTGGCAAATCTTGATAATGAACAACCTCTAGACGGATTACTATTTTATCATCGTCAAGCATTATATACTTATGGACTTACCCCACTTGTGACGTGGTTAAAACCTTTTATGTTACCCGAAGTACTTGGAATATCTGTAATTTCACCATTTGACGAGAAACCAAATGATTATATAAATTTCGAACATCACATCCAAAAAATAAAAGCCAAGAAAAATCGACAGGATAATACTACAAAGAGTGATACTAATTCCGTAAGTTCCTGCAGTGTTATATAATGAATACTAACTTTGCATGTATGTTAATTTTTTACCTAATATATTCTTTTTAATTTTATAGATGGAAATAGGTGTCGTTTAAAGATTAAAAACTCATTTGTTATAGCGATTTATAGCGATCTCAAACTAGATAACTTATATAATAATGTGCAAAATTGAAGTATACATATTTTTTTATATTATCAAATACAATATGTTTGACAAATTTTTTTTATAAAAATTAATATAAATTATCCTATTTTTTTATGACAACGACAATGTAAATAATTATTGCAGCAATCAAGATATATTACTGTATTTGAACTATGTATATCACAAGACATTAAAATAAGAAAAGTTCAAACATCAATATGCACTGTATGAAATATATCAAGAGCTTTGTCACTAAAGTATAACAATATATTATTCATAATTTCTACATTTGTCACTTTCATCTAAAAAAAGAAAAACACATTAGACTGAAAAATAAACATCTATCAAACTATGTATTTTGTTTTAACATGATTTCAATGTAAAATAAGAGGAAGAATAAAAACGATGTGAAGACTCACTCTATTCTCCATTATTGTTATCCCAGGCAGATTAATCCTGCGCAATGTACATAACCCTAACTGTAAACCTCCTACCACTAACATTTGTTTATGTAAAACTTCATGGAACATTTCCATGTGTTCGTAATCAAGAAATACATTAACTCTGTTATTTTGATCTCCGACAATGCTGTAAATTAATAAATACATACAATATAAAATAAATATAAATAATATTGAACATTTTCGTTCAATTAAACGTTAACCTACATACGCTGATAATATTTCCTTCAAATCTGAACTATGAAATTTAACTTTAATGGCATCTGTAAGTGGTAATTCTGGCACTGTGTATTCCATTTGAACTTCGCCAGAAATTATTGGCTCATCCTTGTTATTGATTGTAATTATAATTGGAACCAACCAACGCAAGTCATCCTCATTAGCTGGTAACGTAACTATTAAACAGTCAAACATACGACCGATGATGGTATGTACCGCGTTCATACAGCTGCGAGTACCACGACAGAGTAGAAGAGGCAATCTTGTAGAATTCTGTATATTTAACGTAGTCTGTGTTAAGCTCCATAATAATAATATCCCTTTATAAATGGATTTTTCAACACCATTCTCACGACCATTGATTTTAGTTACAACTTCAATCTAAAATATATTTTATAAACAAGTTTAAATCTGATTGTCTTTTTAACAATATACATATTTTAATAAAATATTACAAAATATTTTAAGATGCTCTCTCTCTCTTTCTCTATTATATGAAAAAATATTAAGAATTAAAAATTGCCAGTATTTTTTATTAGACCTTGATTACTGGATTGTCATTATTTGGTTTAGATGTAATATCTTCCATGACAGAAAACTTTGCGTCATAAGTTACATCTTCACTCGGTAAGGTGCTTGCAATCTCTTCTCGCAATCTCTTCGAATATAGTTTGAAGTGAACATCATCTTGTTCAATGTCGAACAGAGCAGATACTGCATAAATGTTCCATGTTTGGGCTACTAAGCCTGTAAGGTTAAATTGTAAGTAAAATTAAAAGATTATATATTCAAATAAAAAGAGATGTTAAATATTTAAGCTCAATGGTCGATTAACGTAAAACCAAACTACATCCAACTACATCTTAAGAATTATAGTCACAAGAAATTTTTGTGCTACATCAATTCCAAGCGCGTTTGAAGTACGGTTTTCTTTCTTAGATATGAAAAAGCGCGTTGTTTACTTTCCAGTCCATCGATTTCGTCCTCTTCTTCTGGCCATGTACTTAGGTCGAACCGTTGTCGTTGACGCATTCGAGGTGCTCGCGGAGTATACATGACGTTATCTCGGCTGTCCGGCGTACCGGTACTTACGTTATCTGACATATTGTGGAGGAATTAAAAACCGCTCATGGATAATTAAGGCACGAGATATGTAGGTATTCTCATCCGCTATCTTGGTTCCACTTGATTGATAGATTACAGTACGATTAGTGACAAAGGTATATGTTAAGAGCCCAAATTTTGATAAAAATACACTGAATCGATGCGTAAATATACTAAATTTCGCGTAAATAAATATTTGGCAAGAAAAAAGTGTCACTCTGTCCTGCGAACCTGCGATGGTTAGAAAATCCATCACAGCAGTGGTTTACTGCGTTAAAAACACATACAATTTACTGCTTTTAAAATACAAATTCACTACTTTAACAGAGAATTTATGTTTTTAAGGCATAGTAAACCACTGTTGTAACTGATTTTCCAACCCGAATAGTCATCCACTTTAAGGATTAATATCTCTGTTTGCGGAGCAGAGCGACACCTTTTTCTTATCAAATCTTTATTTTTACGCAAAAATGCATCGATTCAGTGTATTTTTATCAAAATTTGAGATGAGCGGGCTCTTCTTAATTAACATTTACCTTCGCCGCTAATCATACTACAGGCCTGTTCTTTTTGGCTGAACTTTTGCACCAGTTCATCTTTTTTCGTTTTCTCTCCAGGAGGAAAGAAGAGGAAGAAAGATAAACTGGTGCAAAAGTTTAGCTAAAAAGAACGGGCACGAAGCACTTTGATATATGATCGATTACCTCACTATATTTTCACGAATTGCCTTTTCCGTCTGCGACGGAATGTTTAGGCTGCCTTCTGATAAAGAAAGAAACAACGGAACGGAATATTGACTGAAAAGAGATAGGATGAGGGTTATCCAGCATTATAACAATGAAACTTGCATTAAGAGCAGTTAAGAGTTACAGAATAGGCTTGCTGTGGCGTCTCCCGTACGAAATAAGAGGTTACTTTGTGTACAACTGGCTGGTACAGCTGTTTGCTTTTTAAACATGGCGTCCAAAATTAGTTTGTTAGTTATTCCTCTCAGCGGACTCCCTCTCAATTCGGCGCACAAAGGGTGTATTCGAGGAGCATGCGACGCGACAAACCTATAGTTTGAATCTGTGTGCAATGTTTTTTTTTTTAGGTAACTCAAAAAGAGATTACGCCAAAATTAATAAATATAATAAATAATTACATAATATATAAATACATAAAATAATATAAATATCACATCCTACACGTGGCATTGTCAATCAACATCGATCAACTTCGCTGACCTTGTTCTCTTCGCTCGATTATAAAAAACTTTATGCAGTTGCTCCATTTATCTTTCATGTCCACACGATCGCCAAGGCAGACCTTCGCCAATCACATTCGGTCACGCGTCTCCCTTTCTCCTTCCTCTTTTTACGCGCATGTATTCGAGTGCAATCGCGTCTTTCGATCGATGTTGACGTGGGTCGTGTTTATGTCCCGCGTTGTTTTTGTCTCCCGCGCAAAAACGCAGAACGGTTTTCTCGAGGGAGGTTAAGAAGCACGATATCCAGAGCATCTCCGTGACTCTCGTCCTCCGAAGTCGATCGCGTCGAGTTGCTTTACCATTGTGCTTCGGATGAGCGCGAGTGCGCAATGACAACGATAGAAGTCACATTCCCGTCAGACAGACCACCCGGGAAAATTCTGAAATGGAGGGTACGCTCGGACACAATGGTCGCAGCGGGCAGAATATTGCTGGTGTACCAGGACGCGACGCCAACCGCCGACGACGAAGAGACCAAGGAGCCTGAGAAGAAGCTGCGGGCCACGAATTTCGGCCGCGTCAAGCAGTTCCTGGCCAAGGAGGGTGACGTTGTCCAACCTGGGTATGCATAATTCTTCCCACAATCCTCATTTGGAATGATAGCAAATGGTAGTTACGTGAAATTCCGTAGCGTCATCGCGCTCAAAAATCTGCAGAACTGCCAATTTCAAATGTCTTCAAAAGAGAAATGCGCATAACTTTTTTATTATCTTGCATAGACGAGAATTTTGTGAAAAGATTCAAAGGTCTTATTAACTCAGCACATTGCATCTGTATCGTAAAGTGATAGATCTTCAGATCTTTAACAAGATGAGATAATAAAAAGCTTCTACTTTGTTTCTTAAAATAGAAGAAAGTTAAAAATAATCTGTATATTCTTTTAAAATAAATATTTTATTCTTAATAATGCAATATTCTTCTTATTAAGAGAATATTAAACAGTGATTGATCAGTTTTTACAAATACAATCACTTAACTATACTTATGCTATTATAGAATGGACTTAAGCCTTAGTACACACGATTGAATCATTCGTATCTTGTATATTTTTTTATTTGAAATATTCACCTATTTAAGTAATGGTTTCTCTTTCGCTTTTTTTTTAATGTACAACTTTACAAATACTTTCTAAATATGTTAAAAGAAAATATTTAAGAATCACTTAATGATTTTTGTATTCTCGTAAACGTGATGAAAATTAATCCGGAACATCAACAACGCTTATAATAAAAGATTAGAAAAATCATCGTGTGTACTAAGGATTGAGTGAAAATAAAGATTTTATATAGTATATTGCATACAGAAACACTTTTTAATTAAAATGGTTTTATATTATGTAGCCTATTTAAAATATACTTGAATTTTGTGATGTCTGCATAGTCGATTAGTGTTCCAGGCAAGTGATAGTTCTACTGGAAGGATGTACACATCCCACTGTGATGATAGACTTGTGTGCAGAATGCGGGGCCGATTTGAGGGTACAAGAAACCAGCAAAGACGGAAACACAGTTGGAGTATCTCAGGCCAGTGTGCCTATGGTACACAGCATACCAGAGCTGAAAGTATGTCCGGAATTAGCAGAGAAAATTGGGAAAGAGGATGAGCAACGTCTTTTAACAGATCGGAAATTAGTGCTACTTGTGGATCTCGATCAAACAATCGTTCATACCACAAATGATAATATTCCACCCAATTTAAAAGTATGCGTTTATTTTTTGCTGTCATAATTCTCTATAAAAATTATTGATATAAAATTTGCGAGCATTATTGCAAAATAATCAAATATTTCTTTTCAAAAGGATGTTTTCCATTTTCAATTATATGGGCCGAACTCTCCATGGTACCACACCAGATTAAGACCGAACACTCGGCATTTTCTCTCGGAAATGAGTCGTTTGTACGAATTACATATTTGTACTTTCGGAGCAAGAATTTATGCGCACACTGTTGCGTCATTACTAGATAAGGATGGAGTTCTGTTCTCTCACAGGATACTTTCGAGAGACGAATGTTTTGATCCAGCATCCAAAACTGCAAATCTCAAGTATTTATAAATTACTATCTTAAATTTTATGTAACATTATTAGAGATAAATATTTAGAGACCAATTCTGTATTACCTTATTTATTGCAGAGCTTTGTTTCCCTGCGGTGATGACTTAGTATGTATTATAGACGATAGAGAAGATGTATGGCAGGGGTGTGGAAATTTGGTTCAGGTCAAACCCTATCATTTTTTCCGTCACACCGGTGATATTAATGCACTACCAGGTTTGGAAAAGGCTGAAGTGTCGCGTTTGCCGGAGCCGGCGAATGCAAATGAATCCTGTACAAATTCGCAAAACAAGGATAGCAAGAATGATGCATCTGAATTATCAAATGAAGCCGAACAGCCATTAAACAATCCCTCTGTGAAAGAAACAAATCATGAAGATGAAGAAGATGAAACTATGGACGAGATGAAAAATAAGAATAAAAAAGACGAAGATGATAAAGTGACTACTGAAAAGGATGCAGAATCTAATGTTCAGACTAGTACTGCGAAAGAAGATGATAAAAAAAAAATAACGAAAATTACAGCATCTGTGGAAACGAATAAAAACAGTAAGCAAGCGGTGCCAAAGCAGGACAGTAATATAATAGATGATGATGATGATGATTATCTACTATACTTGGAAGATATTCTTCGGAGAATTCATACAGAGTTTTACGCTACATTGGATCAAGAGAGTGCTCGAAAGTCTTTGCGGGATATAATCCCACGGGTACGCTCTCAAGTTTTAAAAGGATTATGCTTAACTTTCAGTGGCTTGATACCCACTCATCAAAAACTTCACCAAAGCCGTGCATATAAAGTCGCAAGAGCGTTTGGAGCGGAAGTAACTCAAGTAACGCTTTTGTATTTGTTATTTTTATAATAATTTGTGTTTCACGATAAATAACAATAAAATTTTGCCAGGACTTAACGGAGAAAACCACGCATTTGGTTGCTATTAGAAAAGGTACAGCGAAAGCAAACGCAGCTAGAAAAGACACAAATATTAAAATCGTAAATTCGGATTGGTTATGGACGTGCGCGGAACGCTGGGAACACGTGGATGAACGCTTGTTTCCTCTAACATCACAGGTATAAATGCCATAATTTTCCAATGTTAAGTTACGTTATTTAAACAATTACTTTTATAGTAATTTATTAAAACGCACGTTGTCTCGACATTAATAATAAACATGAAGTATCGTAGGCACGCGGATCGAGAGTACCACCACCGCATTGTAGTAGTCCGGAACGCGTCGAAGATGTAGAAAGCGATAAAACAAATTCCTTCGCCAATTCTATCAATCCATTAATGTCTTTCACTCAAGAGGAGATCGAATTTATGGATAAAGAGGTAGATGAGGATATGGAAGATATGGTTTTCGAAGACGAGGAAGATGACATGGAAGAATGCGGTACAAAGATACGTCGTCGGAGCTCCGATTCTGAAGATTCTGTGAACGGTAAAGTCCATTTTAGATGATCTATAATATACGATTCGGATATAATTCTGTTTGTAATTTTATGTATTATTTTATTACGTTAGAGTATTATGGTAAAGTCTGGGTGGACTAAAGTTTCTAAATTGCTTTTATTACAATTACAATTTTTGTGCGAAGAAATTGTAAACTTCTTGCCCATTCTGAAAAGAACCAGTTATTTTAAAAATTTACTTGTTTGAAAGTTTCCATTTTCTAAGGCACAATAGAGTATCATGACTTGTTATTATGGGATGTTATATAGTACATATGATTTATTATCATAGAATTAAATTTCATATTTCGCAGACTTTGTTTCCATCAGAATGAAATATTTTTTCACTTCTTAATATTGTGTATGCAGAGAATCAAACCTATATTTTTATTTAACAGACAATCATTCTACTATTGAACTGTTCATTATTTATCTTCGATTTTTTTGCTGAGAATTATAAATTATTTAAAAAAATATATATATATATCTCAAAAACAACAATTTTTTATTATAATTTTATACTTATAAATTAAATGTTTTTCTTATGTTACAGATATAAGTGAATTGGGAGTTCCAAGAAGAAAAAAGAGAAAGATTTACAACGGCAACAATGATAAAGATTTTTCCAAAGATGTAGACAACCATGACAGTGAAGATGATGATGATGATAATAACGACAGTGACGACGATGATCTTGTTGCACGTTTTAGAAGAGGAGGAGAATTACCTGATGACTTAGATCTAGGTGATAATTCACAGGATTCTGTGGATGATTTTGAAGAAGATAACGAAGATGACAGAGAATGGAATGCGTTGGGTGCTGCACTTGAAAGGGAATTTCTTTCTGAGTGACATGTGTTTGAATATAAGTAGTTCTCTTGAATGATTAACTCAGGATGTTTTACGTTATTCATAAATTTCAAGTTCGATACCCGAGGCAGGGTTATTGATAATAAAACGTTATTTGTATACTCTGATTAAGCAAGATATAGAAATATTAAAGATTTCGAAAGAGTAGATTGAAATAGCTGAAGTTTTTAAAAATGAAAAAAATTCTCTACAATATCGAACACTAGATCTCTATTGAATTTTTAAATTTTGCACATATATTTAAAAGCATGATCAATTGTAACAAAGTAATTATTGTTCTTCAAAAGTAATTTGTGAATAGTATTATAGCACTGTGAATAACACATGTGCCATTGAATATATTTGCGAGATTTTTTCTCATGAAAATATATCGAAAACCGATTTTATCTCTTTATGTA